GAGGTGAAAGACGATATCCTCATTTTTTATGGAAACGGATATGAATCATGCTGTTGGAATTATGGTATCGAAGGCTACTGCTTATAGATCATCCGGCAACATGATCACCCTACGTTACATCCAGGTGAGGCTACCACTTGCTTTGCCTTATATTCAGATGCTGACCAACCTACTTTTCCAACAGGATAATGCATAGTCACATATGGCCAGAATTACGTTTTTTCATTTTGGCAACCAATTCTCCCGATTTTTTACCCCATTGAACACGTCTAGGACATTTTAGGAAAAATATTACTACCTTCACAGACTCCAGCGGCACGAGGTACAAGTAGCCTGGGAAGAGATACATCAAGAAGAAGTCGATTATCTGAGTATGCCCAGACTTGTTTCTGATGGTACAAGGGCCACATGACATCGTGGAGGCACAAAATTCTATATTTTTTGCATTTTTTTTCAACGATGGATTTTTATAAAACAATTTATTACCTAACTCTAAGGGTATCGTGCACCAACAAAGAGCATTCAAAACTAAAAATAAAAATAACTCCGGAAGTCACCAATTTTATACATTTTGAGCAGAATACTAATTTAGTTTTGTATTCTCTTGGTTGGTGCTCATTAGCCTAAGATACACATATAAATGGTGTTCCATCTATTGCTTCTTTTTTAAACTACCATTTTTTGACATGTTAAATGTGACATATGAACTGTCAAAGGTCTGTCATTTGTTATGGATTCTTTAACAACGCAAGAACGCATTTTGGCCGTCCAAAAATATTACCAAAACGGACGATCTTTGAAAACTAGTTTTCGCAAACTTGCCCGTCCGGTACGTACATGTGAATCAGTGGCCGCTGTCAGTGAAAGTGTTCATAAACAGCCATCTACTTCGATAAGACACCTTTCGCAAGAATTGGACATCAGGCCAACAACATTATGGGGGATTTTGCATGTTGATCTCCACCTACATCTACACAGGATCCAAGTAACTCAACAATTGAAGCCAGCCGATCGTCAGCAACGGCATATTCTTGTTAATTGGATGGTTGAAAAATGAGAGAGATTTTCGGTTAAAATCATCTTCTCAGACGAGGCACATTTTTACCTCAGTGGCCACGTAAATAAGAAAAACTGTAGGATTTGCGGTTCGGAAAATCCACACGAGACCCATGAACAACCTCTCCATGATCAAAAAGTAACTGTTTGGTGCGGATGATGGGCTGGTGGCATCATTAGACCGTTCTTTTTCGATGATGAAGAAGAAAAAGGCCTTACGGTCACCGCCGAACGTTATCGTGATATGATAGCGGTTTTTTTTTGACCGAAATTGGAAGGTATTGATGCCAACGACCTTTCTTCCAGATCGCATTATTTTGAGAAATTGAATTGGCCTCCAAGATAGTGCGGCTTGACGCTACTGGACTACTTGCGCTGGGGATTTTTGAAAAGTAAAGTGTACGCGACTGCCCCACGCACGATTCAAGACCTTAGGCGCAACATTCGCACCAAAATTGCGACCGTGGACCCGCTAACACTGCAAAAAGTCATCGAAAATTTTGATGTTCGGATGATAGCATGTCAACGGAGCCGCGGTGGACACATGTGCGATGTTATATTCCATACATACATGGTAAAGACAGACCAACAATTTTCAATAAAGAGTTCGGTTTCTCACTCATAAAAAGTATATTTTTCTTAGATTAAAAAAGAAGGAACGGATGGAACACTCTATACAAAGAATTGTTGTAACAAATTCATTATACTGTTTGTTCTTCTCTCTACGTCACGTATATAAAACAGTAGATTATTCCAAGCTAAATCATATAACGCCCATGGATTTGTAAAAAAGAAAACGCTTTGTTCCGTGGAATGCATCCGACATCAGCAGAGTACTCCTAACTATCACAATATTTACAACTGGCCCAGTAAATTTCTGGCACATGCACGTTTCCCCCATTTTACCCTCTTATCTCGCTCCAAATTAAAACGAATTTATGCAGGCTTACGTGAAACAAGAAACCCCAGTGTGGGATTACGCCTAATAATACCTTCGCGGTTTGTGTTCTTGATTTAACAAATTGCTGGATTTCGGTAGGTAGATTGTAGTTGCTGCATATTCAAACGGGGATGATTTCTATTATCTGGATTATAGTGCACAACGGACCGTGTTTTGAGTTTCAGTTTGTTTTTTATGCAGTAGTCCGGTCAGGGGCAGGGTTCGTGACCCCTGAGGCATGCTTTGTCTTCCGCAAATACATTTTCTCCTGCTATGACAATTTTTTTACAAACAATACTGTTGCTGTCTACTATTGGCTTGCTTTGTACATCTGATGAGTTTAGCCAATGGATGGAATTACTTCACATTTCATGTATTATCGATCATTTGTTTTATAAGTCAATTTATAGTCAAAGTGGCTTTATTATTTAATCGAAGTCCCAAGAGCAAGCATCGATCTGCTTGCATGTTTTTCTAGCCCAGTGAGTAATGTTTATCTTATACTAATTCAATTGTTTGTTATCACTTAAGATTAGTATGGGGACCTTTCACCAATTCAGATGGTAAATGGCGTTTTAACCTATTCACCAGCTCACTATTAGATACATATAATCGGCTTGCTTATATATGAGGGTGTGTTTCAACCCTTTAGATTCCGTATCTAAAACTGAATTCGCGGATGACTTCCTTGATGGTAGGGAGACGGATGCAACGCGGAATCACTTCATTGGGAACGTATACCCCATTCGTAGCACAAAACATATGCCCAAAAGCGAGATTGTACAGGTCCGTATTTTCCTTAATAGTCTCGGAATAATCTAACAAAATAAATTATTATTTTTACAAAAAGCAGTGCACATATGTTTCACACTTCTTTATTCGCTGGAAGTACTTGAATCATCGTCCGAATGGTTAAAAATTAATTATTAAAGGTTCAATTTGAATAACGATCATATAGTCGAGATCCCACATCTTTGTTTCGATTGTCTCTTGAACGTGACGGATGCAAGCTATCCAGTGGTTTGCCATCACCCTGTTGAAAGCTTCACGATAGAAAATTTTAATATTCTATTGTTTGAAGCCACATAGTTTTTTATATTTGCCCAAATCATTTCAATGGGATTTAATTCGCAGCGATAAGAGGGTAGCCTTGAAACTGTCTAATGTTGGCTTGTAGCAATTTTGTCAATTACATTCAGATTGTATTTATCCCCTTACCGCATACTGTCCCAAATTTGGCACACGTGAAATATATGTAATTTTTCAAGTCCCCCAACAGCTAAAGACCTTAACCTAAACTGTTCCATATCTGGCACGCTCGCTTCTCTATCGCCAAGAAACATTGTCGCCCTCTAGCACGTATTTTATGAATTGCGTCAGATTTCGTTTAGCGGCCCATAAGCACGTGTTACTATATTCGCTTATAAAGTTGTGGCGGCCATAAAACGTTCAAAAATCAAATTTTTGGTGCAAATAAAATTATCTACGTTCTGGTAAGTATGTCTTATTGTGACTTTTGTAAAATTATGTCCTTCAACTCATACACATGTTGATTTATCGTCATTAGTTTTCTTGTGCCATAATCGGAACAACTTGCAGTAAAAGAAAAGCTGACTATATTATTGCCCCTTTTTTCAGATGGATGCAAAACGATTTTATAGTGCTAAAACTGTTGGGATTTCGAACTTGAGTGGCAGTGAAGATGAAAATTTGTCATATGATGATCTACCGAAAAACATTTTAAGTTCTGGTGGAAGATACCAGTGAAGAAGAACAGCTTGATAGAGAGATGGTCGAAGATATTGTGATTGAAGAAAGTGATTTTTCCGATAGTGAAGACGATGTTCCCCTTTCAACTCTCATTGCTGCAAACAAGGCAAAGAAAAAAACAAGGTTTGTTTTGATTTGGAAGATAAACAGTTGAGGGTATCTGACGAAGACATATGATTCAAGGGATCTCACTCCTTAGGAAAAGATATTTTGAATTTGGGTGGTATATTCGAATTTTTCAAGTTTTTCTTTACGGATGACAAACTGGTACATATAATGGAACAGACCAATTTATATGCTATCCAATGTAGGCCTGAAAAGCCACCAAATATAACTAAAGAAGAGATAAATATTTTCATTGGAATTTGCATATACATGTCTGTAGCGCACCTGCCATCCACTAGAAGCTATTGGAGTAGTACACTGAGAGTTACTGCAATAACCGAAGCTATGACATGTAACAGATTTGAAGAAATAAAACGTTTTGTTCACTTCAATTATAATACGAAGCAACAAAAACGCGATGAACCTGGTTACGATAAGCTGTTCAAAATTCGTCCTTTTTTAGAAAAAGTACGAGAGAGGTACCTACTTGTCCCAAAAGAAGAGCATCTTGCAGTTGACGAACAAATTATACCAACAAAAGCTCGATCAACCCTAAAGCAATATAACCCAAAAAAACCTCATAAATGGGGCTATAAAGTTTTCGTACTAAGCGGAGTATCAGGCTTCAGTTACGATTTCGACTTCTTTTCTGGGCCAACTAACTTGCAGCCTTATCAACCAGATCTTGGGGCAAGTAGTAATGTGGTAGTGAAACTTACAGAGTCAGTTCCAAGGAATCAAAATTACAAGGTTTTTTTTGATAACTGGTTCACCGGCCTTCCATTACTGGTTTATCTCAGCAAAGAGGGCATTTTGCCTCTTGGTACTGTCCGCAAAAATCGTGTGCCAGATTGCGAATTTCCTAAGGAATCTATGATGAAGAAAAAAGGTAGAGGTACAATTATGGAGAGAGTTGCTCGAGTCGATGGCGTAGATGTTTCAGTAGTTTCCTGGTATGATAACAAAATAGTTACCACAGTATCAACTTACGTAGGCAGTCGCCCCAAAGAGTATAGAAATATACAACTATATGGGAGGTGTTGATCTACTTGACTCGATGTTAGGATACCATAGGATACTTATAAGGTCAAAAAAATTTTACCTAAGAATATTTTTCCATTTCCTCGACATGTTGTGCTATAATAGTTGGATATTGTGGAGAAGAGCTCTCACTGAGAACAATTCTGATGACTATTTGCCACTGGCTGAATTCACACTTGGTTTAGCAGAAATTCTAGCAAGATCCCACGTGACTTCAAAAAAGCGAGGCAGACCCAATAGCTCACTACAGCCTCAACTGGATTTAAAAAAAGGAAATATCCTTTTGCGGAAATACCAGCCCAAGAAATTCGTCGCGACAATGTGGAACACCTTCGTGAGTGGCATGAAGATCGCCAAAGATGCAAATTTCCTGAGTGTAAGGGGAAAACACAAGTTTGGTGTGATAAATGTAATGTTAGATTATGTTTGAACAAAGCCGTAATTGTTTTCGCCGTTTTCATCTGGAGTAAATAAATGTTTATTCAAAATTACATTTAGTTTAGGTGTTTTCCCATGTATTTTTAACGATTTATAACATATATGGTTTCAGTAAATTTTTCCGTTATTGCAATTTGTGTCAAATTTGGCACATGTCGAAAAAGGCTATTTTTTTTAAAAAAAAGCATCAATAATTTTTTTATATATTTTTCTAGTTACTTTTCTAATATGAACTAGCACATATATTTATTTTAACAAAAACAAAAAAATCATGCAGTAAGGGGTTAAATTTGTGCTGTCTGACTACATGTTCTGCTTTGACCATACTTTTATTGAAACTAACGTCTTCTGATAGGAGCCATTGTTGAACTTCTGCCTTTCTTGTGGGCATTGTGGGACTTTTTCTAGTTTTCTGGTGTGGTATGCAGCATTATCAAGTACAATGACGGCATTATCGTCAAGCTTTGGCAGCGTTTTTTCAAACCATCGTTCGAATGAACACCCGTCTATCTCTTCATGGTAGTCGGTCGTTTTATTTTACTCAAATGGTCATAGCGCAGTGGGCACAAAGCCATCTTCACTGTAAATGTGGCATAACAAATCGTTTTCCTTTTCCTGAAAATAATTATTTCATATAATATTCAAGAAAACTAATAATAATACAAGCAGAGCATCTAACAGGTGTTGGTTCCAAATCTACCAGAAATATAGTTTTCAGCTTATAGATTCAGTCTACTTGACACCATCTTTACAACACAAATGATGAATTGGTTAGGCCATCTAAGAAGACTTGTCTTGCTGATTTAATTGTAGCGTCAGCCCATACTTTAGGTTTTGTATGTCCTGCACCTATCCTGGTTTCATCCAAGTAATAAATCTTCCTGGACTGGTCGCGGTCAAAATATTATTTCTGTCCCTTTTCTATACTTCAAATGAAGTCCTTTGAGTAAACTACAGAATGTGATCCCTTTGAAACTAGGTAACTCTTCATCACTATTAACCTCCTGTAATACTTTGTCTATGGTGGGAAGTTTCTGCCTTTCAAAAAATTGATGGACTTGCGTCTGGCATCCCGATCAAAGTTATCAACTGTACCCAACAGCTTCGTATGATGCAGCCTCTTGTGTGGTGGAGGCAATTTTTGTTTTTTTTAGGCCTTGATCTGGAATCGGTGAGGGATGTATTGTTGTGCCGCATTATCTGTATGCCATATGTCCAAATTGGCTTCACTGAAGCGTTGCAGGTTACGAGGAATGTCTTTTAAGTTTTGCATATAGAAACATAGTAGGCCGCACGGATCGAACGTCAGAACTGAATCTTAACCTCACTCTTTATTAAACTTAAATTCAAAGTTTCACAAAGTCATTAGAAAAATGGAACTCAACCGAGAACATTTTCGCGCCATAATTTATTACAACTTTCAGAGATCAATTATCGCAACAAGAATGCCTTGCTGAGTTACTGTCTGTTTTCGGCAACGAAGCGCCAAATCAGTCGACAATTTTCCGTTGGTATGGCAGTCACCCAGGAAAACGTCGATGCTGTGCGCAAACTCATCATTGAAGATATACATGTTACATATCGCGAGATTGAGGCGTCTCTGAAGATCTCAAAGACCCCAATTCAAAAAAATTTACATGAAGAATTAGGAGTAAGAAAATTAGTTTCTCGTTGAATACCCCACCTGTTGACTGAAGAGCAGAAAGCAGGCAGGGTTAATTTGTGTCAAAAAACGCTTGACCGTCTCAATTCCGGAAACTCAAAAAATGTGTACAGCATTATAATTCGTGATGAATCATGGATTTACTGTTATTAACCACAGTCGGCTGTTTGGGTGTTCCCAGGTGAAGAAAAGCCAGCAAAAATCATCCGTTCTCGAAGTGTTTCGAAAAAGATGGTCGCGACATTTGTGTAAACAACGGGTCATATTGCAACAATTCCTCTTAATGAGCAAAGCACTGTTACTGAGGATTGGTATTCCACCAAAAACCAACCCCGAAAGAAGAATCATCCTCCACTAAGACAATGCAAGTTCCCACACAGCCCAAAAAACAAGGCAGTATTTAACGGAAGAAAAGGTGGAATTATTGGACCATCCTCCATATAGTCCCGATCTAGGTCCTAACGATTTCTTTTCTTTCCCGAAAATTAAAAACAGACTGCGTGGTCAAAGGTTCCAGTCACCAGAAGAAGCAGTCGTCGCATTCACAAATGCCGTTGTTGATCTGCCAGCAAACGAGTGGAATAAGTGCTTCGGAAATTGGTTCGAGGAGCGCATGCAGATGTGTATTAATCTTCGTGGAGAATACTTCGAAAAACAAGAAAGTTATTTAAAACTACCTACCGTGTTGTTTTATTTGCATATGCAAAACTTAAAAGACATCCCTCGTAATTAGTTTGTTGTCCAATGATACTTTGGATTTTCTATCAATAATCTCTCTGATAATGTGCAACCTTCTATCTGAATGAATTGCGAGATACTTCGCATTTGATTGTGGAATTTGTAAAGTATTCATAGTTACTGGTGGATGTTTTAGACTTAGTTTCATTAATCTTTATGCATCATTTATTTAGTCCTCAATTTACGTCTGGATTCTCAAGGTAAGCCAATATAACCGTATCATCTGCAAATATCCCTGCATATTCATCACTTGGTAGATTTGTAGTATACAGAAGGTAGAGTGTAGGTCCTAAAACACCTCCTTGTAGAACTTTCGAATCGATAAGCTAAAAAGGATCCCACACACCGACGCGGTAAGGCGATAGCGATAATCGCACCGCTGTCCATGCGGTGCTCAGTTTTCAAAGCGATAAATAACACCGATCACACCAGCGGCTGGGGTGGCTAGCGGTTTATCGCTTTGAGAGCGTTTCGTTTCAGAAACGCTGCTGTCGTGGTTCGTATCGCATATCGCCACGTTTTTCACGATGTGCACGTCGGAGAAATTAATTGAACAAGTTATGGAGTACCGAATATTGTATCATTTAAGTCACGAAGGCTATAAAAATTGCAGGAAAAGGCGTAGGATCGCATTAAATTTAAGATTTCATCAAAACAATCGAGAGTCATCCGAAAGTATACTTGAAAACGATCTGGATGTCTACGTAATTCGGGCATTGAAGTATGATATTCTCCATACATCCTTCTTTGTTTATTGATATCATGTATCTATTTCTTTTTTTACTAAACATAATTATTAATTATTATTAACTAATGATTATCATCAAAATACATATCTTTTCCCCTTTTATCTTCTGCTAAGGCCAATAATAGTTCTTCTTTATCAGAAGACATATTGAATAAAAATTCAAAAAACGCGCTAAATGCGATTTCTAACGCTGATGCTACCGCTATCGCTGTATCGCGTCGGTGTGGGGATACCTTAAGGGATGCGGACTCATTGGCATACCTTATGTAGAAGTACCTATTTGCTGGGTACGATTTCAAAAACAGGTAATGCGGATTATGGAGAATTTTTTTAATTCGAGGTGCAGGCCTCTGTGCTAAACTTTGTCAAATGCTTGAGACACGGCAATTTGTGTATGTTAATTAGTAAGGCGAATTCCAGATTCACAACTGAAGAGCGGAGAGTGGAAGGGTTAGCGATTGTGTATGCATTATGCGTCTCGAGCTTTTTGCCTGGGACACTGGCAAACAACAGGATATGTGGTCACGTTATGTATTGCTGGTTTCTTTACCAAACTGGAAAAATTAACAGCTTGTGATCCAGTAAGGCTGTTGGTGGTAATTGACCACATCTTATGTTGCGGATTCTTTCAAGGTTTTTTGTAGCCGCAGCTATATGAATGACACTTTGTGTGTCAACTTGGATCTAAACATCACACAAGTTTTTTTGACACTGGAAAGCTTTTATAGCCACTCTCAGGCGAAAAGCTTGATAGTATGACCCGCTGTCCCTTCCTGCTTGAAGCGTGAGATTCTGTAGAAATGGCATACTCACTAAAACCCCCAAGTCGTACGACACACATCCCATGACGTCAAGCTGGTTTACGGTAAACCTTGTCCATTTTCAATGGCCAATATAAAAGAGATATGACTATATATGACAGTTAGTTACTAGTATAAAGTTTACCCTGCTAGTCAGGTTCCATTTAACGGCAAGAGATTTTTTAGCAAAAAAACTATCGGATAAGTTTCATGCGTTACAAGAGATGTATTTTAATTTGCAACTCAATAATTTGCCATTACCACTCATTAGTGTTTGAGTATATAACAGGAATGAGTATCTATGTAATATTTTAGTTGAAATGCCTTGAATTTCATCTCACGGTTAGAATATTCAATATAACGCTACGTTAATTTCATGGAGCATTCCTTATAACCAAGTTAGGCACTGAGATTTTTTTAAACATTTTATTAGACCTCGTAGCTTCCGGAGAATTTCAATTTAAAACAGGTATAATAGTTTAAATTTAATGAGTCTTTACGTACTGGCTATCTTATTTATAGCGAACATTTCTTGTTACTTCTCTTTTACCCATTGAGTATTTTCTTCCGCATGCCTGAAAACTGTTTCGCGATACGTTTATACTCAGGCACTCATGAAGGTACTGGAGTACTGAGAAGGTGTTACGGAGGGTTTGTTCGTACAAGTTTCTCTAATTCTATAGGGGTAACGCACCATGTTGATGACAAATCCTATCCTTGGTAATATTCTCTCAGGAGTCCGAATAAATGACTTTCTGGTAAGGTTCGCCCTTCTATTGAGGTTTGACTCTTTCTGTCAGGCTGTTCTGCCAGTCTTTAGATGTTTTTAGTGTTTCTATCAACCACTTCGATACTTTTTGTATAGGTGTGTGGTAAAAGAGTTAAGGCATATTATTATGTAAATTAAGTTTTTTTTATACCCAAGCAGCCGCGGCTGCTATGATGATCCCAAAGAAATTTTATTAATACGATTTTTGAACTGTCTAAGGGAGAATCTTCCTCTTGTAGACTTTTCCACAATTTCGACACCCTCGGGACAAACG